TGCATGTAGATATCGGTCCGTGTGTGTTGGTTTTCGGTAGAATTGGTAACCTAAGGTGCCATCTTGGTTCTTCTGGACTAGCATATCCAGGAAGGGTATTTAATTATTTTGTTACACTTCCATTGTGAACTGAATACTGGGATGTTGTGAATTGAGAAACCCGAGAAACTGAGAAAGAGTTTCCCTGCCATGATTCCAAATTACGAAAGTATCGTCCACATACCGAAACCATGTGGATGGTTTTAGTGGTGCGTTCCTCGAAACTTTATTCTCAAAGTGTTCCATAAAGATATTTGCAATGATAGGAGATATAGGAGATCCCATCGCCGCTCCAGAGGTTTGTTCGAAAAACTCTCCTTGGAACTGAAAATAGGTTGAAGTTAAGCAGTGTTCTATTAGTGGGAAAAGGTTGGCAGAAATTTCCTCGGAATTTTTGATGATGTTCAAAGTATCCTGGACTGGAACATTGGTAAACAGTGAGACTACATCAAAACTTATCAGGGTATCATTAGTATTCATCTTGATTTTTGTGATCTTATTCATGAAATCTGTTGAATTCTTGATATGGGAATCATTGAGACCAGTAAGTTTCTGGAGGAGTTTGGTGAGATAGCGGGCTAACTGGTAGGTAGGTCCCCTAATATTGCTGACAATAAGGCGTAAGGGCACTGATTTCTTGTGGATTTTTGGAACACCGTAGAGTCTAGGTGCTGAAGAAAATTGACCAGCTGATCAATTAAAATACGCTGATTGGCTGGATTCAAGCCTCGTCCCCTACTCCCTAAACACCATCTACACAAAGGGGGGGAGGGGGGCATATAAGGACTACCTTTACCCAAGGGAGCTCAGTATCAGAGTTCTTAGCCCTGATGATGCAAACTGCAACGTTTGCGAAACGTCGGCATATCGCTGATTCAAGACACGGCTCCATTCCGGAAGCTATACCTAGACATTGTATCAATGGCCGTGAAAGCCTCAAATCTAGTGTAAATAACATTGTTTTTTTGAGCATTGAATATGTCGAATTTTGTGTCAACAAAACGCAATTTGCGGGAAGCTTTACTTTTTTGCTTCCATTTGAAGAAAAGTGCTGCTGAAAGTCAACGAATGCTATCGGAAGCTTATGGTGATTATACTCCATCGATTTCAACATGTGAGTACTTTCGACGCTATAAAAAAGATGATTTTGACACAGAAGATAAGGAACGTCCAAAAAGGTCGAAAAAGTTTGAAGATGATGAAGTGGAAACTTTACTCGATCAAGACCCAAGTCAAACGCAAGAAGAACTTGCAGAATCATTAAATGTTGATCGATCGACGATTTCCAGACGTTTGAAGACCATTGGAATGATTAAAAAACAAGGAAACTGGGTGCCATACAAGTTGAAGCCGAGGGACGTCGAAAGGCGTAAAATGACCTGTGAATTGTTGCTTCAAAGACACGGAAGAAAAAGTTTTTTGCATCGTATCGTGACGGGTGATAAAAAATGGATACGCTACTATAATCCGAAGCGCAAAAAATCATAGTGTAGGCGAACCATCAACATCGACGGCAAAGCCGAATATTCATGCTCTGTATTTGGTGGAATCAGCTGGGTGTAGTGTATTACGAACTGCTCTCAACGAAACCATTACTGGGGAACGCTACCAACAACAATTGATGCAATTGAGCCGAGCATTAAAGCAAAAACGGCCAGATTACGCGAAAAGACACGACAAAGTGATTTTCCAGCATGATAACGCTCGGCCATATGTTGCGAAACCGGTCAAGGAAACGTTAGAAGCGCTTAACTGGAATGTCCTACTACACCCGCCGTATTCTCCGGATATTGCTCCTTCCGATTACCACCTATTTCGATCGATGACTCATGGCCTATCTGAGCAGCGCTTACATTCTTATGGGGATATAAAAAAAATGAGTCGATTCGTGGATAGTCTCAAAAGACGCATCGTTCTTTCGACGTGGAATCCACTTATTACCAGAAAGATGGGAAAAAGTAGTGACTAGCGATGGACAATATTTTGAATGATCAATTTGTAACAATAATTTTTTCCATTTTTTCACAATAAAGCCGTATTTTTACCAAAAAATTCCTTAAAATTAATGCACACTCCCAATACGTACACTGTTTTACTACATTTTTACGTATATGTGCAAAAATATACACATGGGCATATACATGCAATATTTATCTGATTTAATATACCTAATTTCAAAAAAATTTTGTTACATTCATACAACTTCTATTGTTAATAACTTTTTAATAAACAATGAGCGACGGCTAAAATTTTTTTAGTGTTATTCAGGAGAATAAGTTCTATAACATGTACCAACATGAAGACCATCGGAGGTGGATCCTCTAAATTCCACTTTTACCGATATATTAACTGTTCTGCTGTAGATGAACTGATCGCGCAGTTTTATTATTATACACGTGCAGTAAATATTAGCGGCGCGAACGGTGTATATGAAAGAAACTGTATGCTGCAATGGCTGTCAAGAAAGAGTCACTATAGTAGTATTTATATATTTCTATACAGAGTGTTTCTTCTCACATTAAGTGGGAATGTAGAATGGGTTTAGGTGAACATAAAAGTCCTATACCGTTTTGCGATATCCGCAATAATAGTCGCGATTAATTAAAAAAGATTGGTAAATAATCACGCGATATGGTAGATGAGCTGCAGTAGCGCCGTCTGCTGTTGTATACTTTGTGACCGTATTTCTCTTGCACGTATGATACGCGAGGAAAACGGGCAAAAGTTCGTCCCCGTGAAACGGCGACGGCCGACTCTACCGGCTGCTCAGTTTACCGAATTGGTAGAGTGGCGTGGTTCTTTGACTCGCGACTTAGTTATCGGTCTTGACGCGTGAGAAAAGACGAGAGTGGTTAAAGATAAAATGATAATTTACAATTAACAGTAACAATATCACCTTTATTGAATCGGCGTAAGAACGAGGTCGGTCAAGCCGACATACGCGCGCTCGCTCCGGCTCCCGGGAGCCGAGCGTCGATGAGGATTCGCCTCCTCGCGAGGATGGTCGGCAAGGCTCTCTCTCGGCTAACGCGCCGTTCTAAACTGCATATTGTACAAAGTTGGGCGCCAGCCGGGCATTTCCCGGCTCTAAATACTCGTCTCGAATGCTACGGAAACCGATAGAAAACAAGTCTTTCCTACAAGAGCTCTAAGACGCAACGCGAGATTCGTGATCGCGAGTCGCTCGCGATAACTCACTCAAATAATATTTCAAGCGGACCTCATACAATCTCGTACGCGACGACGATACTTTTCACGACGACATTCTAACTTACGTAACGCTACATTCGGCGAGAACGCGTACTCGCCTTTATTAACGAACGATAGAATTGACACGCTACGATTGACTGTGCGGCACGAATTTTCGCGGCAACTCGAGAAGGACGGCCGTTACAAGACGAAAGCTGATCTATCCCGCAAGAGAATCTTCGCGGTATATAGCGATAATATGCCCATATTTGGGACACCCTGTATATTATTTCGACTGCTAATAAAAGTCTTTTGCAAGTAAAATCAAAAAGAAAAAGAAGTGGTCACCTATGAAAGAACTAGTTGAAATGACATATATTTATTATAATATTTTGTCTCTTTTATAGATGACTATAGGAATATTTAGTTGAGAGAAGAGAGAGAGAGAGAGAGAGAGAGAGAGAGAGAGAGAGAGAGAGAGAAATTTATTTTAAAATATTTATTTTAAGTATTATTTATTTTAAAATATTTAATTGCAAAGAAAGATTTATTTTCAATACTTTTTACTAAAATCATTGTTAAAAATTAGATATATATTTCTGAAGCAAAAAATATATTGAATAATAGAAAGTAATCAGAAGTTATAAAAAAAAGTTACCTCACTTTTCTATTTTAGATATAACTTTATCTAAATAGACATATTTTAATATACTGTAAAATTATAGGATTAATTAAATATTGCTTGCGGATAGTTATGCAGTTCGAAATTGCATACATTATTGCCACAAATAAATTTGATGATATAATAAGTAACAATAAATCAAAATATTTTTTATCACTTTCGATATTGCTATTATTACTATTATATTTTATTATATAGCTTCTCATTAAATTTCACATTGAAGTTATTTTAGCTCATATATGTGAAGTCCTTTCAAATATGACAGCTTATATTTTCTAATTCCTCAACTCAGTTTGTACTAAACTTAATAATTTCTTACTCTAAACAAATATGGAAATCTGTGGTAATGTCTCGTCCTATGTGATCGCTTAATGTGAAGCCATAGTAGTCAAGGCATTAATAAATTGCAGTATTTAAATTATCATCTTCTAACATTATTTTTTCTGTTTTATAGTGGAAAAAAACAGAAAACCTGAAGAAGATCTTGGTTTATTGACAGATGGAGAAAGTGGTAAGTCTTTTTTTTTTCTCTTCACAATTTTTTCTTCTTTACTAATCAATTTTAATAAACATAATGACATCTTGATATGAACTAGATAAATAATCTCTAACTTTTTAAAACTTTTTAACTAACAAGGGAATTGTACGTACCTGATGTCACGGATTTTGATAAAATTTTTTTGGGTTATTCTACAACATTAATGTACATTCTGTGCAAAAGAATTTTTGTCAATATCTCTTCGTTTCGGAGAAAAAAAGAAATAGTTTACGAGCGCCTTATAGGCCAAATATGTGACGAAAATCTCAAGCGCTTCAGTGGCCGCGGTGGTTAAGGTGCGGTGTGTTATCTTTTTGGCTTGGATTCAATCCCCGGGCCATCCAATTTTTTTTTCGTTTTATTGTTGTTTTTTTCATCCAAAATGTAGGACAAGGACACAATAAACATAAAAGTACGAGAAAGGAATATATTAAACATGATTATAAATGACAAAACATTAAGAAATATGTTGTATGAAATTATGTTAATATTAAAATTATGTTAATTTTCATGTTTTACTCATATTTGACGCTGTTTTTTCCATTGTCAGAAATTTCATATAGTGTTTGTTTTACTTTATAAATTTTTAACGTAAATTCCAAAGGAAAGGAACAGAATGATCTAAGGTTTTAACCCTTGGTATACACACTAAGGTCTCCGAAACCCCAAACAAAGTTTGAAACTCTTTTTTTTTTATTTAGAAAAGAGAAAATCCATCATGGACACCCCCGACGGGCGCCCTCCCGTCCTAGTGACGGGGCCAGGGAATAGTGCCGGACTCCTAGCGGCTAAAAACTCTCTTCCCTCACTCCTCTGCCATAGTGGGAGCACGGCTGGAATCGTCTAGAGGCATATCATCGGCCGTGCCCCTCGGCATTGGTCGTGGGCCCCCCATTCCCTCACCCAATCCCCGATGCGCCCGGAAACGCGCGCCGCACCTCAGTCAGCTCGCCGCCGCACAGTGGGCGCAAAAGCATCTTTGGTGGACAAAATTCGGCCAACGCTCCATTTTTTAACCGATTAAGTTTATTTTTTTAATTTGTTGAAAATTGAATAAGCTATAAGACTGTTCTGCGTAAATCTTGCTTACGATCCAAATTAAAAATGGCCGGTCCAAAGAAGTAAATATAAAATAACAAAACTGTACGATTGTGAATTAATTCGTAACAAAACGTATATATATTTACACAAAACTGTTATTATATATTTTTGTATATATTATACGTCGAAAATAACTTATCTGCAATGTGAAAATAAGTTATTTGCAATGTGAAAAAAAAATGGCAAACTTAAGATGGAAAAGAACTTTACGAATAGCCGGATTGTCATGAAAAACTTGGTTTAATAGATTCTCAGGGTCGCTGATTATGAATCTGAGATAAAAATTTAATGACAAAATTTAAGAAGGCGAATCTAATATGAAGAATGACTAAGAAAAGAAAAAGTTATTTTATTTGAAAAAGTGATTGTAACAGGTTTTCGTAATTATTAATTACGAATATAAAGGTAAAATTTTCTAAATTCAACTTCCAAAACAATTTAAAGTGTCTGGAAAACTAGCTATAATGTAAAGAGTTAAGGTTGCTGAATGTGGAATGTTAAAACTCAAACATATCTGAATTATAAAAAAGTGTAAAATTGCCACAGGAAATTTTCAATGTTCGTTCTAAGGTTGTAATGTTCCCTAAAATAAGGGAAGTTCTTTTAGGTTATTCCATCAGAAAGTATAGATGTTTATTCTACAAAGATTAACTTTTGTTTTATTACTTCGTAATAGAAAAGCGTAAGTACTTTATATCATGAATAAACTATTTTATCAATGTCACATCATCATTGAAGAAAAAGATTTTTTTAAGTTTTATATATATACTTTATATACTACATTATATGTACTACATATATATATATATACAGGGTGTTCAAAAAGTCCCGGACCGGTGAAATATCTCGAAAACTAAGCATTTTAGAAAAAAATGTTTCAGATAAAAGTTGTGGCGTTTAAAAAGATGTATTTACTGATCACATCAGTTTGACCTT